TGGCACCTGCTTGGCGACTTTGGCCCGTAGCTGCCAGATGACAGCCGAACTATCGGGAAGCGAAGCCTAACTTTGTCACCTGCTTGGCGACTTTGGCCCGTAGCTTCCAGATGACAGCCGAACTATCGGGAAGCGAAGCCTAACTTTGGCACCTGCTTGGCGACTTTGGCCCGTAGCTTCCAGATGATAGCCGAACTATCGGGAAGCGAAGCCTAACTTTGTCACCTGCTTGGCGACTTTGGCCCGTAGCTGCCAGATGACAGCCGAACTATCGGGAAGCGAAGCCTAACTTTGTCACCTGCTTGGCGACTTTGGCCCGTAGCTTCCAGATGACAGCCGAACTATCGGGAAGCGAAGCCTAACTTTGGCACCTGCTTGGCGACTTTGGCCCGTAGCTGCCAGATGACAGCCGAACTATCGGGAAGCGAAGCCTAACTTTGTCACCTGCTTGGCGACTTTGGCCCGTAGCTGCCAGATGACAGCCGAACTATCGGGAAGCGAAGCCTAACTTTGTCACCTGCTTGGCGACTTTAGCCCGTAGCTGCCAGATGACAGCCGAACTATCGGGAAGCGAAGCCTAACTTTGTCACCTGCTTGGCGACTTTGGCCCGTAGCTTCCAGATGACAGCCGAACTATCGGGAAGCGAAGCCTAACTTTGGCACCTGCTTGGCGACTTTAGCCCGTAGCTGCCAGATGACAGCCGAACTATCGGGAAGCGAAGCCTAACTTTGGCACCTGCTTGGCGACTTTAGCCCGTAGCTGCCAGATGACAGCCGAACTATCGGGCAGCGAAGCCTAACTTTGGCACCTGCTTGGCGACTTTGGCCCGTAGCTTCCAGATGACAGCCGAACTATCGGGAAGCGAAGCCTAACTTTGGCACCTGCTTGGCGACTTTGGCCCGTAGCTTCCAGATGACAGCCGAACTATCGGGAAGCGAAGCCTAACTTTGGCACCTGCTTGGCGACTTTGGCCCGTAGCTGCCAGATGACAGCCGAACTATCGGGAAGCGAAGCCTAACTTTGGCACCTGCTTGGCGACTTTAGCCCGTAGCTGCCAGATGACAGCCGAACTATCGGGAAGCGAAGCCTAACTTTGGCACCTGCTTGGCGACTTTGGCCCGTAGCTTCCAGATGACAGCCGAACTATCGGGAAGCGAAGCCTAACTTTGGCACCTGCTTGGCGACTTTAGCCCGTAGCTGCCAGATGACAGCCGAACTATCGGGAAGCGAAGCCTAACTTTGTCACCTGCTTGGCGACTTTGGCCCGTAGCTGCCAGATGACAGCCGAACTATCGGGAAGCGAAGCCTAACTTTGGTACTTGTTTGGCGACTTTGGCCCGTAGCTGCCAGATAACAGCCGAACTATCGGGAAGCGAAGCCTAACTTTGGCACCTGCTTGGCGACTTTAGCCCGTAGCTGCCAGATGACAGCCGAACTATCGGGAAGCGAAGCCTAATTTTGGCACCTGCTTGGCGACTTTGGCCCGTAGCTGCCAGATGACAGCCGAACTATCGGGAAGCGAAGCCTAACTTTGGCACCTGCTTGGCGACTTTGGCCCGTAGCTGCCAGATGACAGCCGAACTATCGGGAAGCGAAGCCTAACTTTGGCACCTGCTTGGCGACTTTGGCCCGCAGCTGCCAGATGACAGCCGAACTATCGGGAAGCGAAGCCTAACTTCGGTACTTGTTTGGCGACTTTGGCCCTTAGCTGCCAGATAACAGCCGAACTATCGGGAAGCGAAGCCTAACTTTGGCACCTGCTTTGCGACTTTGGCCCGTAGCTGCCAGATGACAGCCGAACTATCGGGAAGTGAAGCCTAACTTTGGCACCTGCTTGGCGACTTTAGCCCGTAGCTGCCAGATGACAGCCGAACTATCGGGAAGCGAAGCCTAACTTTGGCACCTGCTTGGCGACTTTGGCCCGTAGCTGCCAGATGACAGCCGAACTATCGGGAAGCGAAGCCTAACTTTGGCACCTGCTTGGCGACTTGGGCCCGTAGCTGCGAGATGACAGCAGAACTATCGGGAAGCGAAGCCTAACTTGGGCACTCGTTTGGCGACTTGGGCCCAAAGATGCCAGACGTCAACCGAACTATAAGGTAGTAAGCCTAACTCTGGCACATCTTTGGCGATTTTGGCCCGAATGTGCCCGCTGACAGCAAAACTATCAAAAAATGAAGCCTAACTTTGGCATTAGTTTGGCGATTTCGGCCCAAAAATGCCAAAGATCTGCCGGACTACCGGGCAGTAAGCCTAAATCTGGCATTTGTTAGGCAATTTAGGCCCAAAGATGCCAAATGACAGCCGAACTACCAGGCGATGAAGCCTAAGTTTAGCACTTGTTCCGCGAATTAGGGCCAAAATACCCAGACTGTTGCCAAGGGAGGTCAGCTTTGGCTTTACTTTGACTTCTTCGGGCTTTTTAATGCCCTAAACTCCCAGACGCAAGCCGAGTGTTGGCCCAGAACTCGGTGCTGCCTGGGTTATTTATTCAGTTATTTCGCACACAATCATACATCTGAATTTCACCAGCTGACGGCAGGGCTAGAGGAGAAGGAAGAAAGGTGTGTATACATTACTTTTCTCACGTCAAGTTTCCTGCTGCTAAGTGTTTTTTTTAAGTAACGGAAAAGGATGAGGGTTTGGTTGTTTACCAAAAACAAATGTTTATTTGATTTAGATAAAAAGCAGCGAACTTAAAGGGACACATAACTGTAGGCAGTTGCAACATGGGAAGCTAAACATACCGATTAAAAAGGGATACACCTTAGCAGAAAGCTGCGCTAACGAGAACGATTCCTCTATATTGTTGTGCAGGTTCGTTGGTATCCAGACATTGATATCGCATGTATTATATTCATATAGAGTATTCCAACAAGAAAGGAGATGGACAAATCCTCTTAAACATCACTTTTTACAATTTAATCGGTTAAACCTTTTTTGTCAATTAATGCATTAGTTAATTTATCACAAGGTTTTAAATTCATACAGTTTTCCAACAAGAAATGAGGTGTACAAATCCGTTTAAACAGCCCTTTTGACAAATTAATCCGTTAGAACGTTTTGTCAATTAATGCATTAGTTAATTTATTACAAGGTTAATCGCTTAATTTCACAGCGTACGTAAAATAGTTTGACACCAATATCGTCCTAGCATTTCTTTATGGTACCAATACGCTATTGCTTCTCTGCTTCACCGCAGCAGCATGCACGATACAAGCAGCGTGAGAGCGCTTACACTTCGCTGCTGAAGCGCAAACCGAGCGCTGCTGAAATGCTGCTGAAGTGCTAACCGGGCGCTACGTCATGCGTTAGTCGGTGCCATATGAGCGCTGTTTGCAGCGCTCATGAGGCGCTAACTTGGCGCTCCGCTGTATGTGTGAACCGGCCTGCGCTCTAAAAGCGAGCTATTAATAAAAAAAAAGTCTCCGGTGTTAATGCGTTGCTAAGTGCAGCAACAAAACTATGATGCCGGAACGCGTTTTCGACTGGTGTATTTGGTGCCTTCTCAAAAGTACTCCTTTAAATTCCTTCTGATGAGGTCAAAAAGCATAACGTTACTGCCTGCCGCGATCCTGGCGGTGGCACAACAGCGGAAATGGTTTCAGCGAGACGCCTGCCCTTCTGCAGTTCGCTCTTCATTTTGACGGTATTAGGAAGCATCAGCAGCATTTGCGTTGGGACGCTGCCATGACAGCTACACTTGTGTTTGATCGTACTTTTTGCCGGAACGTCCACGACCAACAACGGGGACGGTAACGCCTGACAACATTGCACGTCGCCTCCTGTGGCATAACTTGTTACTACTTCTGGACCACTTTTAGATGCATGGTCGCTATACGAAGCTAAACACGTCAGTCAAAGACGTATTCAAAACACTATCACGAAACTGCGCTCACGTATGTTGAGCCACCTTTCATACAGGGTATTCAGATATGAACAAATACTTTGATGACCGAGCTGCCTGGAAGGGTCTGCGGCTTCTGGTTCTCCATTGCTTTAGCTTGGTTTTAAGGACGAGCAATGAGTAGCGCGTATTTTAATTGTCTCACCAGCGAGGGAAATGCACGTATATGTACGTCAATATATTGACTAATACTGGATCGAAACCCTTTTCTTTATCCCATGGATGAGAAGATTGGGCACTTAATGCTAAAAATAAAATAAATCTGCCGAAGAGTGTGAGGGCGCTTCTTAGTCGGCTACTTATTCGAGCCGCCTGATGAATGTTCCCCAGAACGACTTAAAGCCTACACGCCATTAGGCGTGTTTTACGACTTCGTAAACAGCATTATATCGGCGATGGGCGTCTATTTACCTCAGGTGCCGTAGGCACGGGCCGGGTTTCCGCAGTGGGACCGCCGAGTCGGTCTTTGGATCTAGCGGACGGTCTTCCAAAACAAATTATTACGTTTCCTTCGGCGCTGCCGGAATCCCTGATATGTGGAATGTGAAAATCTTTCGACCTGTCGACTTTCGCGTTCAAGCCAGCTTGGCACCTATAGCTATGCGGATATTGTCGGGCGAGACGCCGGGTTCTCTCTTGTCAGACGTTGCGCCATCAGTTGACGGCATAGCGAAGTAGGCGAGCACCGTCTGCGAAATGCTGCCGTCCTGCAATCGCCGCTGCTTGAAGATGTCGGTGGCGTCCCTTTTCATCAAAATATTGTAAGAACTTTACTTCTTAAATTTTTGTTCATGCCGCTGCGCCGCGGGTACCAAAAGGCATAATACTGGAGCATTCTTAGAGCTTAGCTGGCGCGCAATTGCTCGCTGACAAACCAAAAGTCGTGGCGCACCCATCAAGAGAAGCGGGGAACATAACAAAACCTTGAGCATTTCTCTTCATAATCATGGTCACTGGAACTTGAACGAATACCCACTAAAGAAAGCTTTATACCCAAACTTAATATGCTCGTACAATTAATAATGTGGTCCAACCGCCTCAACTTCGTTCTTTCGGCACATTTGTCCTAAGTCGAATGATTTTATCTTCCAGATATACTTTCTACTTGCACTCCTACTATTCAATGGATGCCAGTGCCATTTCTCCAACGCAAATCTCACTTCTGGATCAGCACGGTAACCAACTTTTTACATTATTTTACGCAGACATTCTTAAGTTCATTGGATTGCTTTTCTTGTACTGTAGCTTGTAGGTTATTGGCCGAATGACGCGGACAATTATGCTAAACTTAATATTGAACACGAATTGTAATATTAAGGGTGCATGCTTTTTGGATAAATTCATAGAAAAACGATAGCACAATATTCCCCACGTCGAGCCGTCTCTGCGAAATGGGTAATAAAACCTCAAAACACATTTACAATCAATATTATCGAACTAATTTGAACTGACAAATAAACACATTTTTAATTAATGTCACGAGGATAAAGCTGTGGTGCTTTTATTGAAATGCCACGGAAACACAATATGATGGGTTTTTTTTTTTTTGCTTGTCGCATTTTGTAGCTATTAGCGTGTTCTTGCACTTAACCCTATATCTAAATTTAAGCGTTGGTACATCGTATTAATACAAAATCTTGCGTAGTGTTTTAATACCATACTGAGCTTTCTACTTTTCACGCAATCTCTATAGTAGTCTTCATGGAAATCTCGCTCTGTACGATGTGTTGGTGACATGATTTACATTGATACAAAACCCCGAAATACTGTTTACGCGCGCCAAGTATTTAAATAAAACACTGCTCGCTCGATACAACTCCCATTAAACTATATTTCCCGTGGGTACATTCAAATAGACTAAAAGTAATGCGAATGCAAACATAGGAAAGCGGAAACCTGGGATAAGACGGCAGTGCCACGAGTACATTAAATTAAATTTCCGACGCGCGAGATAGCTGACACGTTAAATTCGAAACCGTTTACGAGTCAGCTGGCATAATCGTAGCGGAATATCTCATTTGAAAATTCTTGGTAGCGCGGTGGCACGTAAGTGCAGCCAAATTACCCGCATTCTATTCTCCCCAAACCATGATCCCTTGCGAGGTGTTCCAGCGGAAACAACTATCTTGTATGCTTTCTGCCATAATAAGCGAATGTTGCAGGAACGCGTCTCCAACCGGTAGGTTTATCGCGTTCAAGAAAGTGGTCCCTCGATTTTCGCCTGATGACGTCGCAGAACTATCATGCTGTTGCCAGCCGTGATCCCGGCCAACGTTACTGGAGCAAGCTTGCTACAGTAACGTTGATCTCGGCGGCATCACAACAGTCGTTGTGGCGAATGTGGCAGACGCTTGTTTCCAGACGCAGCCGACGCTATAGAGCCGATGGGACCAGTCAGACAGCGTCCCCAGGTCACCATCATGCTATTCGTCATGTTTTTATACGTGCTCTATCATCGCTAAACCCATCATGAGCAAAAAAAAAAAAAAAGACGTTTGCAATTATCTGTAATGCCGCATTAGAGAGAGAGAGGGGGGATCGGTGGCCGAGTGGGCTAGTGCACACCAGCTCGGAGCACGTGGAGCGAAAGCTCGCGCTGCAGAACCCGAGGTTCCTGGGTTTAATCCCCACCCCTGCCCGTTTCGATCTGGATGAGCATCGTACCGGCGTGCAATCGTGTATCACTACTGCGTGGTGCACGTTAAAGACCCCAGGCTAGCGGTTGTACCGCACTGACTAAATTGCTCATCTACAGCTGAGAGACTCGTCGCCCCATTGAAACAGACCAAGTTCTAGGCTGTATAAACACACACACACCCCAAAAAATTAAAGCGCAGCACTTGAGGAGGAGGAGGAGAAGGCACGAAGAGGAGGGTATGCCCCTCCTCTCCTCCCTTCCTTTTCTCCTGCTCCCCTCTCATTCTGCCGGAAATTTCGGCTAAATTTCCCGCTAAATATAGCGGGTCAATTTTTCCGCTAAATTTAGCGGGGAAATTATCCCGCTAAATTTAGCAGGGAAACTGCGAACATTTTCCCGATAAATTTAGCGCGGACTCTTTCCCATAACGCAATGCGCGGTTACGCCCGCTCGTATTATTCCCAGAATTCGACGCGCGAAGTAACGCCGACGGCGACGCCGCTCAACCCGCAAACGGGTGCCTAAGAGCAGCGCTCTAAAAAGGCCCAGCGATTTGCGCTTATTTTGACACTGCTTGATTTGTCCCATTAGCTTGTGACTTCAAATGCGTCTAGATTGAAGCTGAAACTAAACGTGGCTGGGATGCCCACTGAAGCTATCGCGGCAAAACTAAGAGGCCGCGACGACACCGACACTTTCCTTCTCTCGTCCATTCGCCAGCAAGAAACCATCAGTTTAACGGCGTCCGACAGTACGACACTCGGACTTTAAGGACGTCATTTGTTGCCGCTTCGCGAACACTTTTGAGATATGAGCGGAATAGAACGCTAAACGCACCTGTCGGAGACGTGTTTCAGGCACTCTAATAAAATAAAGATGCAACGTATCATCACTTCCTAGGTAACAAAGCAGTAGTGCTGATGTCGCTAAAAGAAGGCCAACACGAGCACGAGCACACATAGACACGTCTGCTGCGTCCTAACTTGAATGGGCTTCATGTTCTCACTCATTGAACACATGGACGTTTAAAGAGGACTGAACTCGGCGTGACGTCATGCACAGCGACGCTGGAAAAAGTACACGATACCAGACTTCCTCGCGCAACGATGTTCTTTCATTCAACGTTACTAGATCGGCTCAATTGATAAGCTCCGCATTAGCCGCGCTTCTTTAAAGGAGCTGTGCAACGATATTCAATTGGAATGTTTTTCTCTATACACGAGCTTACTGGCACACCTGGGACTCAAGGATACTCACACGCAACGCCACTGGCCAAGAAACTTCTTTGTTGCGGTGTAATTTCAAGGACAAAAGCGATCATTTACATTCAATCTCTCCTTCGCAAAATTCGATGACGTAACTCGGGGATCGCAGTACACCCAAGTGACGATATTTGAATGCGGCTCATAGATTGGACCCGAGCATTGCGTGGGCACTCGACTTGGGCTCGTGACAATTGCTATCTCGAGGAGCATTCGGGTTGTAACCCGTGTCCAATCGCTGCAACGACGACAATAGCCGAGCCATAACAATGTCTGGAACTCAGCGCGTGTCCTGCGCTTTGCCAACCCCAGCGCGTGGCTGTGATCAACATTGGCGGCATATAATCGGCTCCAGATCACGTGGCCGCTTGTTCTGGCAGCGAGTTGAGGGGGTGAATGCTGCTCGTTTTTCTTAAATTTTTTTCTGGGACTTCTATTGCGTGAGGTGAAAAACGAACGCGTGTTTCATAGGTCATCAACGTTAGGGATCTGTTTTACGCGGTATTTGTGCAAAGTACAAAAATTGTTGCATTGCTCCTTTAAGGTGGCCCGCTCCGTCCGTGCGAGCGTGGTGTCGCTTATGTAGCAGCTCGCCTAAAGCCTCTCTATTCTGGGAAAGATGGCGCCACTCATTGTTGTAGAAATGCTCGAGACACGCACCGCGCGCCACTTACGACACTAAAGGGAGGAACATAGCGCCTTAAATCTAGCTTAGTGCTGCGCTGTGCCGCCATGATCGTCACAAGGGCTGCACGTTGCACGTGCCTGCTACATCCACCTACCTTGCGCCCCTTTGAAAACATGAGGGCGCTCTGAGCCCGCCCGGTCCACAGAGTCGGCCAAGCTCTGGGCAAGCTCGAGCCGCATGTGGCCCTTGCGCACTTTTTTTTAAAAAGAAATGGACTCTGCAGGTAGATTGTGCTGCAGCCACATGATTGTAAATATGCAGGCTTACAATTTCTTCGATTTGTAGACGGTATAAATCAAAGGATAGGAGCATAGACGCTTAGCTTTGGGTCGAGCATCCGAACGCAATCATCTGTTCGTGTAATACTAAAATATAACGGGATTTATCTTATGTAGCGGAGTGGACACGGACCCGTATGGCAGGATGAAGGCCCGTTCACACATGCAGCGGAGCGCTACAAGCATAGCGCTAACCTCGCGCTAAGCGCGTGCTGACAGCAGCGTTCACCAGCTTTGTATCGCACCGTCAGAACTGTTGCTCATGGCATACGATAAGTAGCTGATGGCACGTGAAGAGCGCTACATCAGCGCTTCGCTGCATGTGAAAACCGGCCTTAAATGCACTTTACTTTGGGCCCGAGAACTGCACTGCGAAGACTGTTCTTCATACGCGCCAGGATCCGAATCCCTCGATTCACCTGAGCCCAGCACGGTCCTATGTCTCGAGTCTTTCTCGTCTTCTACTCTACTAGATTCCTCCCTCCTCAGGCGAATGTGAAGACATCAGGTGCTTTGCGTAGTCTGGCCGGGTGCCGACGAACCGCAGTGGACTCGGACGCATGAGCTGATTGTTGCAGAGTTGTGCCCGATGCATCTTCTTCTGCTCGCTGTGGTTAAACTGTGCAAAAGTTGTCCACCGGCATCGGGGCGTACAATGTGGTCCAGTCTTCTTCGCAGATTCGTTTCTTTATCTGATCTGCGTGCACCCGGTGTCGCTTGTGATCTTCCGTCAGTACTTCAAACATAACTCGTCCTTCTTGGCTGACGATCACACCTTTGATCCAGTGGTTCTTTTTCAACGTATCCTGCATCCAGACTATCTGATTTATTTGGAAAGTCCGGTCGCGACTTCTCTTGTCGTAGTTGCTCTTTTGGCGTACCCGCTCACGAGAACCTTCAGATGACTGGCCTGACTTAATCAAATCCATCGTCGTTCTGTCGTGCCGCTTGTTTAGCATCTCTCATTGGGGTTGTCCCGTCGTAGAGTGTGGTGTAACCCTATACTTGAGGAGGAACTGACTCAGTCCTTCCTTTTCCACTCCCTTCTTGGATTTTCGCAAGGCAGACTTAAGTGTCCTCACAAAGTTTTCGGCTAAGCCGTTTGACTGACTGTGGTACGCATCAAAGTGACTTCAGGCCACTTGCTGTAGGCGTCGATCACCACCAAGTACATGGTGTTCTGGTATTCTGCAAAATCTGTATGGATTCGATACCAGGGTCGTTTTGGCACTTCCCATTGGTCTAGGGGAACGGTTTCGTTCCTGTCAGAGACTGAAGCACAAGCTTCGCAGGCCCGACTTTTCGCTTC